AGATCTACAAAGTGGCATATGTCTGATTCAAAACAGAGCGTAACACATGGGGACCTTCCCTCGCGAGTGCTTAATAATTCGTATATCATGCATTGGAAAAAGAATAATCTTGTTTCTTAATCCCTATTGAAATCATTTTCAAATATACTAACAACATTGTTGCTTTTTATTTCGCTTAGCAAACTCAAATATCTCTTGTACATCCCAAATTATTCGAAGAGAAATTTCAGTCTAGAACTATTTCTGACTATCGTATTTTATATATCTGTTTGGTGATCTTTTTTCTTCTCTAGAACAATGCCACCAATGAAGTTTTAATTGTAATGATTCGCTGTACGTAAACGTATCTAAAACATATCACACTGATAGAAATTTTAACTGAATATTCCATAGTTTACGAATATGTTTTCTGGTAAAACTTGGCCTGATTTAAAATGAATAGCAATGCATAAACAGAACGAGTATTACAAGAACTAATGAATAGTTGCAATTGTACTTTACACAGTACATGTGGTATGAATTTGATGTGACGACTAAATGCGATGTCTCAATGAACAAAACTATTCTGGGAAAGTAACGTTAAAACATATCTATCCTAGTAAAATGGCACGTAAAAAGTTTCAACGAGTGACTATCCATACTTCTCCCACTTTCCATAGTGAAATAGACTTCATTGACGACTCTAAATACTCAACGTTTAAAAACCAATTCTATTTAAAAAAAAGCAAGTATTTCAACGGACCATCTGAACTCGTAGAAGTGAGAGAGTTATAAAGCGTTGTTCCATTTCAATACTCGCATTTAGATCGTTAAAATATTCCTTCATTGTCCATCTGTCTGTGTGGATGTATTTCTTTTACAGGACTCTTACTGTTATTCATGTCTTGATCGTTGTTCACATGCGCATTTGTTGATGCTGTTGTTTTTCTTATTGCTACATTCTGTGTTTCAATACGTTGATTCTAAACGAGCAAATGCAAAAAATGATGAAATCCACGAACTCGTTCCGATGAATCTTCCAAAGTAAGGCTCGTAATGGGATGGGATGAGTTTTTTATGCTATGGAAAATGTGATTATTTTATTTAAGAAAAAAAACATTATGTATTGATGTCACACTGGACAATAGGTAAAAATAGTGAATATCCTCATTCTATTTCCGTACTATTCATTAGTCGACTCCAATTTCTATTCAAACAATTGAATAATGAATACAAAAAAAAATAGAAAATAAAACGAAACATAAATATTCTTTTAGTTTAAAGATTACAATAATAAATATCATCATCTTTTGTTTTATAAATTGGTAAATTTCGCCTTCTGTTATTATTTCTTCTTCATTATCATCTTCAATTTCGGATAAACAGGAATATTCTGTTGAGAAAATGACTTTTCGTTTACAGTAAGAAGAAATGAACCTTGAACTTGAATAGGATTTTTGCAATATAACGAATTCCAATGGATAGGATGAGACGAAAATTTCCTCTTATCCCGTCCCATTAGGAGCCCCGGCAGGGTAGGCCCACGATATTGAAATCATCGTAGGGTAGGGTAGGGTAGGGTATATGGTACGAAAGAATCGTATTCTGCAGGATTCTATCTTCTCGTCGAGTTACTTACTTCCGTTTGTTCAACTTCATTCGACGATTGGTGGAATGTCTACATCAACATGAACAAAGATTTTAAAAAAATAAACGAAATGAAACCTACACCTACCTGCTCTAATTGGTTCTTTATGTTTCGATAAGCATCGATTACATGCTTTTTTATTTCTTGTTCGTTCGGTTTTCTTAATAAGATACATAAATGTACATTATCACGTGCTTCTATTTCCATGATTTGCAAGACAATATCATCATCATTATTAATATGTGGCGACGTTGATTTAATCTGCATTGAGTTTCTAAATGTCGAAAACGATTCATTAGTAAGTCTAGCATGTAAATGTAAACATACTTGATGCATAATTGGAACAGATGCATAATTTCAATAAAATTACCCTTTGAATTTGTTAGATCTTTTTTTTATTTCTAAACTACAAATAAAAATCAATTCTTTTTTATCGAAAGCTTTATGATTTACTGATGTAATTCAATTTGATTGAAAATCGCATAAAAATAAAAATATGGATTGTCCTCGCTGGTCAGTTTTATTTTTAGAATCTAAAACGATCATGAATATAAAAAAATGATACTTATATGAAATAAACTTACATCGTCGTCGTCTACATCAAGGTGGTAACAAATTTCTCAATAAACGAGAAACAATATTTACTCCATTTGATTCAACTTCGGTTAAAATTCTTTTAGAATAGTGAAACATGACTGCGTTATTCATAATCAACAATGAAAAAAAATTGATACGGTAAACAAACAAGCAAGCAAACATGCTCATGAGTCACACATAGCAGCTACAATTGAAGAACAATATCCTCAAATCAAATCGAGCGCCATCGATACGCGTTCATTGATTGAAATAAGCTAAAGTACCACCAGGTCGAGCCATCCGACAGTAGGCACCTAACGGAACCCATCCGATCCGACTAGAATCCAATAGGATTTTATCGGATCCTGTCAGATATTACAGAATTATCGTTGGATTCCGGGTCGAGGAATCGATGTCGGATGCTCAGTGTCGGATTACTATGAATTACAAGGAAAAACCATTGTATGTCATCGGAAGTTCATAGGATTCCGACACTGAGG